TGTCCCTTTTGGAGTCAATGCTGAGACTCACCTGGGGTTGGTTGTCTTGTCTGTGGAATGTTGTAGACTGAATCAAGTCTCCCTTCACCTTTTATACAAAATTCTGGGCAACTAACACCCTGTGGATTTACTAGGTATTAATATGACCAATGCTAACGTGGTGCTTGCTGTAAGTGAATCAGTGTTTAGGTAGACAGGGAGATCAAGCATTACTAAAGTAGTCTAAACGCAGTAGATCAGAGAAAAAATAATGATGATTTTGTACAAATTAAATTTGATACAGCAGCACACCCACTCCTTTACCTTGTCAAATTAAATATGACTCTAGATTTTTCTTCTTTATCTTTGATTTGGGGAGATCAGAATCTATTCCAAGTATTGCTTTGATCCTGTTGTGTCATATAAAAAAATGTGGTTAATAAATTATTCTGTGAGCAAAAGCTTGGTGCAGGGGTGGTGTTGGGTGGACAACAGATAGATGAAAAGCATTTTAGGACCTGACTCCTGGGTAAATTGTGAACTGTATCATTCTTTACTTCCTACATCCAGGTCTCCTAATCTCAGTCCTTATTTTTAAATTGTGTGTGTGTGTTTTGACAAAGCTTCTTCCTTACTTGTAATTCCCTCAATATGCTATGGATTCATCCCTCCAGATTTGTGCCTGTATATTCTTTCTTGGTTCCTCCCCATCTCCACCTCCCAAACTAAAATCTCTCACCCTGAAAAATTTCCCAACCTTTCCCAACAAGAGGCATTTTGCCTCCCCCAGAATTTAGGATAGAATTATGTGAGAAAGAGCTTTAATCTGCCCTTTATTTCCTATAGCCTATTATGAACTCCTTTGAAAATGAGGCAGTTAAATCACATTTTTTTTTTTTTTAGGTAATGCAAGCAATAGGTCAATGAAATAAATACTAGAATACACTATCAGAGATGTAATAGAATCAAATTGTGCAGGACATTTTGTGCCAATATGACAATTTGGTTTTTGCTCTAGATGCAATGGGATCCATTGAAGGATTTTGAGTGGATTGCTATAATCTCACTTAGGTCTCCAAACCTCCTTTTAAAATGTTTTTTAAAAAAAGTTAAAAGTAGTTGTATAAAGGGATTTCAATTCAACAAGTTAGATTATGAGTATAATGTATCTTGATCAATGTCACCCCTTCCAATTATGTTCAATGTACATTGTGAAAAAAGTTGACCTATGTAACTTGAGAGAATAGATGTGTTTGGGAAAGGTAGGCGTGGACCTTGGAATCGGTACAAACTGCCTTCTGACTATTAAGTTGCTGATAGAGAGGAAAGACAGAAGCAAAAAATCTCAGGATAGGGCTATGGCTTCAACCCAGATGTGAGATGTGAGATGATGTTTTTCAGATCCTCATGGTAGCAGTGGAAGTTATGGAACCCAATAAATGACTCTGACTGTATATTGAAAGTTTTTGAGGGATAGATTGTGAGTTTGAGAGGAAAAAGACATCAGTTAAAGATGATGCTAATGATTATGATCAGAGTACTTTGTCACCAACTGAAATCAGATGGCCAAAGATGTATGAAGTTCCAAAAAACACAAGGTGTTCAATGTGGACATTGGAAGCTTGAAGTGCCATTCAAAAAATGCTGGTTCTCTGTTTTAGGAGAATTATGTTGAATAAGAATGAAAATTTGGGAATTGATGAAGTATGCCTCAAAGAGGTTGCCACGGGAATGAGTATGGGTAGAGAAACCTCCTACATGCCAACAGTAGGAACTCCAGGATACAAGGAAAGGAGCTGGGAATGCAGCCCTGAGCCATTATACCCGACTAACTTCTGTTTTTTAATGACTCATGTTTATGTAGTTATATTTGTTCCTAAAGTGTAAAATATTATATACATAATGGAATTTTACTTATCTATTTGAAGGAATACGTTGTTTGCAGGGAAATAGATGGATCTAGAAAAAATGATATAAATAAAATGAGTTGAGCTCAGAGAGCTTATTATTTTCCAAATGTGGAAGTTAGAGCTAAATTAAGAACACGAGAAATCATATACACAGTCATATGCAGATATACACAAATTCACTAAAGTACAGTATAACTTGGGGGAGGCCTAACTCCTCTGAATAACAAATGAACACTTTAACAAATGAATATCGGGAAGCTGAAACACATTTCTTGGGGGAGGATGAGGGATTGGTGAAAAAAAATGGGGTAGACAAGTGGAGAAAGGGATGATGAGTGAATAGAGTCAATATATTTAATGTACATATGTGAAAATGGAGCCAGGTAATAAGAGTAGGGGTGAGAGTGGGAGAGATGAGGCAGAATGATGAAAGGCTGGCATCAACACACACAGATCTGTTGAATTAAAAACCCGTCGTGATGGGGCTGGGAAGTGGCTCAGTGGCAGAGCGCTTGCCTTGCATGCATGAGGCCCTGGGTTTGATTCCTCAGCACACATAAGCAGAAAAAAAAAGCCAGAAGTGGCGCTGTGGCTCAAGTGGTAGAGTGCTAGCCTTGAGCTGAAGAGCTGAGGGACAGCGCCCAGGCCCAGAGTTCAGGCCCCCACGACTGGACCCCCCCAATAAAAATAAACAAAAAACACCCCCTTTGTGTGACTATTTAAAGATAATATAGAATGGAAAATAGGAAAAAATCTTAAATATCATACATTGATTACCTGCTGTGTCCTCAATCCTAAAATACACATGATAACTACATGTTCATATATAATATTTACAGTAATGTTTTCTCCACATTTTTATTAGCATCAATTAATGGTACAAGTGGGTTTCATTTTGACATTTCCATATATGCATACAGTATAACTTTGATCAGACTCACCCCCTCTCACTCTCCTTCATTCCTCCCCAACCTTCCCCAAAGCCTCTCTACAAACTCCATTGTTTGTACTTGTGCATGGGCTTCATTTTCATGCCTGTGGACAAATATTTTGACCATATCTACCCTCCTTTTCCTTCTGTCTTCAACCTTTCTCTTTCTACTAGTACCTCACCCTGGACAGGATCTATTTTGGATCTCTGCCATTCATTTTTTTAATTGTATGCTAATTTGCACGGAGGTTTCATGTTAGTGTTTCACACCTGCATATACAGCACTTTAATCAGATTGACTCCTCACGGATTCTCGCTTTCCCTGTCCTCACTAGTCAGCATCATTCAGGAGCTTTCAGTGAGTTTTGTTTTGCTATCTTCATTCACAGATGCAATGTTTCTCAATATTGTTCACCCTCTTTCCTCTTTCCCCTCATGTCCTCAGTCTCACAGTGACACACACACACACACGATTCTCTATTTGTTTATGAGAATGCTAGATGTAAACAATACAATAATCTTTTGAAGAAATTAACTATGTTTTCTACTTGAAAGATGGGGAAAACAAAGATAATTGATTTCCCCCAAATAATGCAATTTGTAGGTAATGATGCTGGCGGATCCTTTGCTTCCAAAGACAGAGGGCCACTCACTGAGCCATGCTGACTCTGGTCTACAATTTTCACTCATTCTTTGGAGAGGAACAAAGACTGAAACTGTCAAAAATTTAATCAGTTGTTTTCTTTTTACTGTTCATATTTATATACTTCTATTCATGTATATGTCAGGGATTACCTAGAATTTCCCTATTTTCCTTGGTTGCTCAAGAGGCCCAAGATATTTTTCAATTCCAAGTCTTTGTCTCTCTCTCTCTGTGTCTCTCTCTGTTCCTCTGTCCCTCTGTCTCTCTGTTTCTGTCTTTTTCTCTCTCTCTTGGTCTGTTCTTTCTCTTTAGCTTTCTTTCTCTATCTCTGTCTCTTTCTCTTTCTCTCTGTCTCTTCCTCTGCCTCTCTCTCTCTCTCTGTCTGCCCCCACCTCTCTCTCTTCTCTTTCTCTCTCTTGGAGCCACTCCTGGGGCTTGAATTCAGAACCTGGGTGCTGCCCCTGAGCTTTTGTGATCATGGCTAGCTTCCACTTGTAGCTTTTTTGGTGCTTAATTGGAGATAAGAGTCTCATGAACTTTCTTGCCTGGCTGGCTTTCAGCTGCAATCTTTTGGTCTCAGCCGCTGAAGTAGCTAAGATTACAGGTGCCGGGTTCAATTTCAAGCCTCTTGAATTTTAGTTCATCTCTTTCATAAAGTCATTGTTTTCATTTGAAATATTCTACCCATAAAATTTAGAGACTATCTTCTTTACCTTTGTAGGCCCAGCGGGGATAGGATTTCTAGCACTGCAGGTGCTATTGGAGACGTGTTTTTGTTTTTTTTTTAATTACTCATTGTTTCTGAGAATGCTGCACAAACCAATGCTGAGTTAAATGTGTTTCCTGTTCTGCTTTGTTCTGTTCCATTGTGCCCTGTTTTAAGGGGAAGAGAATGTCTGCTGTTTCATGACTCGCTGTGGCATCAACAGGCTTTTGTCTTTCCAAAGGAGATTGGGAAGTTAAGGGAGGAAGAAGTGTTCTTTGAGTTCTGCTTCCTGTCCTGGAAGTACTGAGTATTTTCCCCAGCTGCAGGGGGCATAGCACAGCTCTTCCTTGAGTGGCACTTGCGAGGGAACCTGTGCTGTGGCCTGAGTCTCTACTGGTGCTCTCACCTTTCCTCTGAAAGTCTCCCACCTGAGCCTTTTCTGTCTTGTGAAGAAACAGAGCTTCTCATTGTTATTGATCTCTGCAGTGATTCAGTTCTCTGTCTGGCTTCTCAGCAATTCTTTTTTTAAAAAATATTTTTAATGCTTTATTGTAAATGAAAATTAAGAGACTACAAAAGTATTATGAAGCAGAAAGCACCCTGAAGAGGACACAAGGACCACACCCACAAAGGTCATCAATAGTGAGATTACTGACAGCATGTCATCTACCATCTGAAATTTCACTTTAAAAACAAATTTAAGGGGACTCTGGCTACTGTTGACCTCTTCGCCAGGGAATATAGAAGAGAAATCATCTACAGGTGCCTCAAGTCTCCACAAACACGGAGTTTTACAGAACTAAGCCTAAATTAAGCAAGAATGTCAGGTGATGTTGAAGCTTGCTCTTGAGAAGCAATCTGCATTTTAGGATGTTTGGTCACACTCTTTCTCCTGCTGGATAGTTTCCTTTGAAGGAAGAGTGTTTTTTTCCTCAGTATTAGTTTTCTTCAGTTTTGATCTGTCAAACTTCTCCACTTCGGACATGTCTGGCTTATCACTCATCTTGATTGGAGGCCTGGTGGCTCCTGCGAGGACGCTGGCAGGGGTAGAACGCTGGCTGGCCCGGAGCTGGTTGGGTCGCTTCTCAGCAATTCTAACTGAAGGGTTAAAGTTTTGAGGCCGTGACTATTTGTTGCTTGTTTAAACTAAACCTAAGATCAGCAAATTCTGTCTAGCAGAGCAACACGTGGTGGTAATCCAAACACCTGGTTGGTTGTGTGCCTTTATAAACCCTGCAAATCTTTAGCTCGTGGCTTTCCTCCTAGGCTCTGCTGTGTCGGAGTGTAGAATGAGGCCCGAGCTGCAGCCCGTTTAAATAAAACCTTAAAACAGCTGTAGAGTCTGACTCTTGGTGGTCTTCTTGGTGGGGGTCCTACAACCTGGGCACAACACTAACAATGATGAATGCATTCCCTAGTTTCTCCATTTTAACTACTAGAAGTAGTTTCTGCTCTCTTGACTGGAAACCAACTGATAAACCTACCTTTATTTCTAGCCCTCTAGAAATAAAATACTTTTGGAGTAGCATCATAATATCAATTAATTCAATCTTCAATAAAATACTGAACATTATTCAGGAAACTTGTTAAACTGGATCAAAGCACTTTTGTACTTTCCAAAATCACATGGACCATTTTCTTTTTTCTTTGAGAGAATAAGACTCTATTCTCTGTATTTGACACACTTTTCATCTAAGCTACTCTTACAGGCACTTCAAGACTCTATTAGACATATCTTCTTCTAGAAGGCATTTACTCTCTGCCTTACACAGTCTCCAATGCTTACTTTTGGTCTCTTATTTTCTGTTTTATGCTTCCTTAGTTCCTGGTCCTTCCCTCATTGATGATACTTATTCTATGCTAAACACTCAGCAGACTTCTGAGAATTCTGGTCAACCAATGTCTGTAACTATTGGAGGACCTCCAGAATTTCTGCATATGTACTCAAAGTCTGTCTTTCTTTTATTTATAAAAGTTTTCTTTCCCAAATAATTCCTTTCTGTTTGATTTTGGAATAAGAATTTATCTGTAGCTAGGAGCTGCTGGCTCATGCCTCTAATGCTAGTTACTCAAGAGGCTGAGAAAAATAAAAAGAGGCTGAGATCTGAGGATTGTGGTTCAAAGCCAGACAGCCAGGAAAGTCTGTGAGACTCTTATCTCCCATGAATCACCAGAAAACTGGAAGTGGAGCTTTGGCTCAAAGTGGTAGAGTGGTAGCCTTCAACAGAAAGAAAACCTCATGGACCACACCCAGGCCCCCTTAGTTCAAGACCCGTGACCAAAAAAAAAAAAAAGAATTTATCTGAACTCATGTGATAAATCATCTGCTGTTTCTAGTCTGATGGCTCTTTCATCTTTTTATTTGCTCACGTGATGTGTGTGTTGAATATAAATGTTCCAAATGTTTCATACATTTTTCTAATTATTTATTAAAAGTATTTTCATTATTTATAGTTACAACATTTAAACTATAAAGTAAAATAATATATATGATGCAGTATATATGCAATAATATATATATATATATATATATATATATATGCTGTACTTCCTTGCTTCCACTCCATTAAATAACCCAACAACAGTACAGATATTTGCTGCCACTGTGATAGCCACCAATCACATGTGGCTATTATACACTTGAAATTTGTCTTCTACAAATAAGGTGCATGATTAAGTATAAAACATACACTGGATTTTTAAGCATGGTGTAAGAAAACATATAAACTATTTCATTGTAATTTTTGTCTTAACTAGAGTTGAAATGGCAATATTTTGGATAGATTAGGCAAAATAAATTATATTATTAGGCTGAACACAGTGGTTTACACTTGTAATCCCAACTACTCTAGATCAAGAGGATTAACAGTTTCAAATCAGCCCAGGAAAAATCTTAATGGGACCATCATCTCAACAAACAAGCCTGTAATCCCAACTAGACTGGAGGCCTGGGTAGGAGGATAGTGGGCTGAACAAAAAGCATAAGACCCTATCTGAAAAATAACAGTAGCAAGAAAGTCTGGGGATGTGAATCAAGCAGTAGAGAGCTGGACTGATAAACTTAAAAGCCAAATTCAATCACCTAGTACTAATAACCCCCTCACCCCCCCAAAAAACACAACCAAAACCAAAACAACAACAAAACACTCCCCCCAAAACCTGTGTTATTAAGTTGAAATCTGATGCATTTCTTTTTACTAGAAAAATTTAATATAATGGCTATATTATATTTTCATTGAGCAATCCTGACATAGAACTTGGTGACTACTGAGTTAATTTTCAGAGGTCATATGACCTAACTGGTCTAATGCCTGGCCTACATGCATTACATGTTGTCAGACTGTGTAAACCTATATAAAATGTCACATACTAAGATGAAAATCCACTGGTTACTAATACAAAGACACACTAATGTGCGGGGATATTTTCCAGGGAAGAGGTCTGGAGGGCCAGTCTTCTCATTTGTAGGAACCTCAGTCTCATCCACCGGGGCAGTCAGATGGAACTTTAATTTATTTCATCAGATGAGATACTGGAACAACAAAATAAAATCAGGGGCTCATTGTGGTTGCATTTTCCTTCCTCAGAACCAGGTAGAGCAAAATGTTAGGAAATTCTCCTGATAGAAATGCTTTTAAAGCAGTGATAGCACTGTGAATATTCCATGACTGTTCCAGTAAGGAGTTCAGTACATTTGGTATCAGTCAACTGATAATGCCTGAAGCTAAAAATATTTTCCAGGCTTTATCGCAATTGGGTCCTGCATGGAGTAAGCATTCAGTAAATACATATGGATTTGTTTCTGTTTTAATGCTGGTTGGCAGAAATGAAAGCACTAAGAATGCTGTGTGCATTCAAGTAACTAACAATATATTGATGCTTGATTTGGGCTATGATAAAATGATAATTATCTATTAATGGGTCAACAGTTATTCCCAGCACACAATACTGATGCCAGCCAGTTGCTTTTTACATTTTCTTACTTTAGGAAAATGAATCTTATTTATAAGCATGCATACATACACACATATACATACACAAACCCACTCTAGAATAATAGTTTATAGTGCTTTTACATTTTTGAACATCTTTTTTTTGAGGAAGGCATTATTGTCCTTTTCTTACAAAGTACAAATATTTATTGAGCACTTAAATCCTGTAGCATGCACTATGCTATAAATGTTTGCAGACATTATACCACTGAATATGCTCATCATCCTTAGGAAATATATATGATCATTATTCATCCACTATATATAAAGACATCCCAGTCAGAGAAGTGCATCAAACTGCCGATGTCATAGGGAGTAGTGAGACTTCATTTGCAGTCCATGCACGGAGATGCCAGCAGGATGCCCAGGACCTCCTCATATAACTATTATAGACAGAGCCATTCAAAACTGAAAGGAACCATCAGTAATATTCAACAGCATTGTGTGCTTTATAAAGTTTTGGATAAATCCTATTTGATTTCCTCACTAGACAAGAGAGAACTATTAGAGACTGAAGAAACAAATCCGAGGAAGAAAAAAGAAGAATAAGATAAGGAAACCGTATTATGAAGAATTAGTAATCCAAAGAAGCTTGTTAGAAAGCTAGATCCTAAAGAACCAATTGACTCTTATCAAGCATGTAAGTACTAGACTCAATGCTAAGTAATTTGATATTTACCATTTCAATTAATCCCCTCCACAAAAGTCAGTATTTGATCTTCTGTTTTATAGATAAGGAAACTAAAACACAGGTGGTTCAAACACTTTCACCATGCTGCTGTTGCAGGTAATGGGGAGCTGAAATTGCAACTCACCTGTCTGGTTCCAGACAGTTTTTATTCACAATCCCATTTTGCCGGCTACCCTCCTCATAGTAAAATTCAACCCATTTATTACAAATACAAGTGTTCCTCCGTATCCTTTACAATGACATTGGATTCCTTCATTCAACATGCATGAATATGTATGTACAAGGTTTTGCTGTGGCTTAAATATGGTTTGAGTGGAATTTTGAAAGTTTATGAGCTAAAGCTTGGTCTCTGTTCTGCAGATGTTGAAGTGGGAGTATTTGCAGATGGTTCTACGGCTTCACCTAGTAAGTGGGCTAAGTCATGGGACACAACTCTTGGAAAAGATTCATCCTGATTGTTTCAAGCATTCCATCTTTTCATTGCTTTTCAACTATGACAAAAAGGAAAGCAATGACAGCAACATGAAGCATTCCAGAAAATGACAACAGACAAAAACACTGATTTTATAGAGTTGGTTGTATAGCACTTCTGCTTAACCTAAATGGCCAGGTCATCTTCCTTTGTGAAACAGAATTGATAGAACTAGACTTTTGCCTGAAGAAAAATAACTTCTTGTATAAAGTTCTAGTATATTCTAGTATACAGTATATTCTACTGTAATAATAATTGCTGGTTGGATGAAGGTTGAGATACCAGATTGATAATGGATGCCTTTTATGTTCTTTCTGATAGACCAATGTCCTACAGGAATTGTATAGTATACCCCCCAAACAATTTCTGGTCCTTTGTTCTCCTGTAGCTACTCTTCATACTTCATTAAGCAACCCCAAAGTACAATGGAGATAATTTTTTATAAGCGACCTATATGTTTATGAGAAACAAAAATAGTTTGCAAGTTTTCATTCTGCTTTAAATTGAGAGCTATTTATATTACATTTCAAAAATTGCTTTCACCTTTATTATTTCATTCTATTCTGAATCAAAACAAGCTTTAACAATGGAAGGACAGACACTGCTATCAGAGTCCCACAGTTGGCTCAGCCACTGAATGGCCTGTAATCACATAGGGTGGCAGAATTTTGACTTAAAGCTCAAGATTTTATATAAAAACATGCAATTTAGGCATTCTATTTTAGGTGTCTCTAGAATTTATTTTTAGCACAGAGAAAAAGCTACCAATTTCAGAAATACAATGTGACAGAGATGGATGGTTTACCTTTTATATCCATTCTTGCTCTAGTCTCCAACAGGAAAGGAATTTTTATCTGGGCAAATGGCTGCCTAGAAAGAAGAGTAAAGGTTTACCTTTCCAG